ACTTTTCTTGGGCTCAGTCTGAAATATTGGGCATTCCAGTTGTGGAATTCCTTGCATAATGCATGTTTGCACATCATGATTAACCGTGGTTAATGCACCACAACTTTCTGGATTAAATTGATTGCCTGGGTTTGCTAATGGATTAACATTCAGTTGATCTGGAAAAAAAAAAAAGCAGATCCTGCACCTGTGGGAAAAAATGCTAGGAGGAAAAAAAAATATATATTATGGCTTTATTTTTGTAGAACTCAAGGTGGCATCTATACCTAATACTCCTTCCTCCTCCTGTTTTCCCCCAACAACAACCCTGTGAGCTGGGTTGGGCTGAGAGAGAGGGACTGGCCCAAAATCACCCAGCCAGCTCTGTGCCTAAGGGAGGACTAGAACTCACCGTCTCCTAATTTCTGGTCCACCAGTGTTACCCATGACACAAACTGTGTTTGATTTCACATAAAAAAGTGGTTTGTCCTGCCTTCCAGGTTTATTTGTATGTTTGTCTGCTTTTTGATTTGCAGTTTAGCCCACAATCCTGAGCTCTCCTTGTTCTTTCTTTGTTTTTCCATTCAAGTATTAACTGGATATTAGCCAAATATTGTTTTTTTCCAGGTAAAGCAAAATTACCTGGATACTACCACTTAGTCCAAATATCCCTGGAGGGTGCCAGAGTGGCAAGAGGTGTTCTAAAAATTTTTGGTAGACTTTCATGAAGTACTGTAAATGCACGAAATGTTACCCGAGTTGGCATATTTTCACATCCAGGTACATCGACATAGACATTTTGCAAGTCTGTACCAGCATCCTGTCTTGCAGTGCCTATAAAATAAAATTAAAATAGCAGAGGCAAAAGATAATTATTGTCCGTGCGTGCTCACAAACAAGGTCATCGTGTTTATCTTGTAAGTTTCAAGATTTGCACAGAAATGTCAGAAATTTTCCTATGCATTTGATTGCTTTTGGGTTTTAGTGCTTGCAGTTTTTAACTCTGTTGTGCCTATATAGCCTGTAGACACAGCTATCTACGAAGATATCATTTCATGCATCTCAAAATATGGGTTCTCTGTGAAAACCTCTATTTCTTAAAAAAATTACCTAATTTCTTATAAGTGCCACCAAGCTCTTTCAGTACAATCCCATGCATGGTTTACTGTGATGTAAACATTTACAGATTTATTCTCAGGACTCTGTTGTGCCTATATAGCCTGTAGACACAGCTATCTACGAAGATATCATTTCATGCATCTCAAAATATGGGTTCTCTGTGAAAACCTCTATTTCTTAAAAAAATTACCTAATTTCTTATAAGTGCCACCAAGCTCTTTCAGTACAATCCCATGCATGGTTTACTGTGATGTAAACATTTACAGATTTATTCTCAGGTCAGTCTGTTGAAGGTTGCAGACTCAGTTAATTTTATCGTGCCAAGCTAACATTGCATTTCTTTGGAATTCCCTGAAGAAGTAGCCCAAAAGAACGTGGCTGCCCTCCAAAATGAATGGACTTTTCCCTCTAGAATTCCTGGACTGCATGATCATTGCTAAGAATTCTGGGAATTGAAGTCCACCCCCAGGAAGGGTCCCCCGGCTGGAGGATGTGTTCTTTGTCCATGTACAGTAATGTGTTTTCTAGGGTGTGAGTGAGTCTCTTGAAAGTGAATGCAAATTTCCCATTTGGGAGAATGTGAAGGGCAGAAGAACTTTAGCTAAACTCTAGTTAAAGGCCTTTGCTTTCCCAAATAGTACAGAGATCCACCAACACATTTGTCAACTTTTTACACCCCCCTCTCCCGGCACGGTTCCTGTGCATTTAGACTTTTAAATTTGCAGCTCTTGTCACTTTATCTGGTGGCACAAGGCAGTGTTAGGAGTCTTTTTTCTTCCTCTTGTCCTTGTGTGCAGGGATAGACGATCCAGGGAAGAGATCCTGGATACACTAATTAGTTCACTGCTGTTCAGAAAGGAAGGGCTGAACATGGGAGGATCAGGCGGTTGCATAGTTGTGATTTATGAATAATAGAAGTCA